GTACAGGGCTCGCCCCTGCCTCGGGCCGACTCAAAACACTACGGAAATACTATCCCTAAATTAGGATGGAAATAAAAAATCGTCACTGCATATTCCGATGATTTTTCAACACTATGATAGTCATTAAGGACGAAATTAAGGACCTCAGGTTACAGTTCGACGTAACTTGTGCTCCCAAAACAATTAGTTTGGTCTTGTGATCATGGGCGAAATAGCAATAACGCATTTAGGTGCTATTTTTAAGCTCCCTGTATATCGAAAATGAAATATTTTCGGAGACCCCATATGCGAGGGACAGAAAAGTTGGATATACCTATGGTATCGATAAAATAATCACCCGAATAAAATTTGAACTTGTACCTACATGTAAAGTTACATAATCGTACTAAACATTAAACAATGTGCTGCATGTTATGGCAACATTGCATGCGACCTTACGATAAGTCCCCCATACACCACACAACACGGTTTTTCCGTATTTTCCTCCTGTTTCCTTATCCACCAAAATGTTTGTATAGCTTGCTGTGGCGCGTGATATCTAAGCGTTTAGAGACAAAGGGGTCTCGGTGGCGCCTGTACGTACTAGTGATGTAAAAAATATTCGCATTCGCTAATACACGCATATTTTTTGATATTCGCATTCGCACATGTGAATATTTTGGGAGTATGCATATCACTAAAAGAAAATATGGAAATAATATTACGTATTTAAATAAAACAAGAAATATCAGTTTAATTTTTTCGCTAGAAAAGCATGTTGTAATTGTCAAACAAAACAACCTTTATTCTTCACATACCTAATGTTTTTCCTTGATGTTATAAACATTAAGATATTTCTCATGTGAAGTGAGACAGTCCAAACAGCGATGAGACTGTCAAATCAGTGAATATCTGGCTCACTTAAGACTCCGAAAAAAACGGTTCAGATAACCTTGATCATAACCTTCATAAAAAAAATGGCGTCGAGTAAGTTGACTGCACTTCCTACGCAACGCAGCCATCAGTTCATGAGGATTAAGTTCGCAATTTGAATCCTCTGACAGATATTCCTTTTTTACCCTACCGGTAGTTACTGTACATCTGACAACAGTGTCCCATCCCTGCACCTAAATATCCTTAATTTCGTACGTGGTCCGTGTGTATGTTTTTGAGTTGCAGTACGGATAGATTAGTCAGATGAACCGGTTCGCTTCGCTGGGCTGTGAGCTTAGGTAGGAGTACCTAGGCAGTTCTTAAAAATCATTTTAAGTTTTAAAGGAAAATCCATGACTTGTGAAATATGGCTAATAGGTGCATAGAATTACCGCGTTTGGGAGCGTATTGATACACTGAGATCAAAAAAAATTCGTATACTCTCCCCCATCCCCTACAAACCTCAACCACCAAACTTCAACCCCTACAAAAATTTTGCTGAAAACGGTCAGGACCCTCTAAAACGTCAAAGAACGAAGTGTGAGCGGTTTTTTTTATCGTTTTGTGTTTTTTTTTCTCCGCCGCTACTGGGTCGATTTCGTCCTTGGTATAGTAGCAATCTTGTGTGAAAATTTCATCAAAATCCGATGATTAGCGGACAGACAGACAGACTGACGGAAATGGGTGACATGGTTTCTCATGATGTACATGTCATATAAGATCCAAAAAGCACAATATCTCATTTTCCAAATTTTTCGCAACTACAATACGCCTTCGCCCATTGTCGTAAGAAGTAATATGAAATTTTTCTGCAGTTTGCCGACATGGATCGCTGAACAAAATATAATTGTAAGCCAGGTCAACTTTTGTTTTCAAGATGCAAAGGGCCTTTTGACATCGGCAATCACCTCTAGATGCAGAGTGAAGGTCAAATGTGAACAGCTAGGTAGAAGTTCAGCAAGAAAATAAAAATGGATCAGACTCTTTGGTAACCTTCCACGAGGATATTAATATTGACTTTGGATTTGACCTTGAGCCTCACCTCCAAAGTCATAATAGCGCAAGAGAACGTATTTAAACGTAAAGCTTTCCAGTGTCGATGTCAAAGATGGGGTATCCAGTAAAAAAAGGATGACCTTGAAATGTCTTCAAAGGTGAGGTCAAGGTTGAATCCAAGGTCGCCATTGAAATCCTTGTTGACAGTCACTATTGAGGAATGTTTTCCATCAAAAATTCTGCTCAACTTCCAGTAATGTCTACTAGCCTCTCACATTTGACCTTTAGGGATGAGTTTGACCTTAGATTTTAATATACATTCGGCCGTCAAATTTTCGGGTCTCAGGGTCGAATCAAGGATCACCGTGGAACTGCTTGATCAAAGATGATATAAACCTAACCTTTTTTTTAAATACCCTAACTGAAAAAATAGAAAAACGTACATTTACTTATGAGGGTTGTCTAGTTAACTAACCTTGAACAAGGAGTTCAATGCTGACTTTGGATTTGACTTTGAGAATCACCTTCAAGATTATTCCAAGGTCAACTTTTGTTTTTAAGATGGAAAGGGCCTTTTTGACATCGGCAATCACCTCTAGATGCCGAGTGAAAGTCAAATGTGAAAGGCTAGGTAGAAGTTCAGCAAGAAAACAAAAATCAAAGTAACTCTTTGGTATCTTTCCACGAGGATTTTACGATTGACTTTGAGCCTCACCTCCAAGGTCATAACAGTACATAAGAATGTATTTAAACGTAAAACTTTCCATCGTCGATGTCAAAGAGGAGTGTCGAGTTAAAAATCTCACAATTTGGATTCGGTGGATTTTGCCCATTAACTATATAAACTTAAACGCTGCAAGTGAAGGACAAATCTCGCTCAGCTGAGGATAGTTAAACTGTGTGTTGTCAAAAATGACATGTGTAATAATAAAGTGAGCAAACTGAAGTGAGATTGAGTGTACAATGAATACAGCTGTAATAACAACTTCGCACAAACAAAAACATATATTATTTTTTAAGTTAGTCTTTGATTACAAATGTTTTACTAATACAAAATATATACGACAATTTTTTTCTTAGATTTGTTTTGAAAACTAGACACTTTTTTGCTTTTCCTTCATTTTTTTTAAACAGCAAATCATCAATCAAACCACAGGAATATGAAACATGACATGACGTCAATGGTATTTGGTTTCCAGTGTATATGCTAAGGTGATTCAAGCAAAGTATGTATTCTTTTATTTATGACCGTCCAATATTTATGTGCTTAGCCAAATACTAATTATTTTATAAAGTGAGAAAGATAAGTAAAATGGAGAGGTCAGCATTAATAATAAATTAATGTGGATAACCCTTAATTTATTATTTGATTCGTATAGGATACATAAGAAGTATAAAAATGATTCCTGGAGAGCCGCCATATCCATGGTGTTAATAATATAATATTAATAACAGAAGGGCAGATTCCTGAACCAAATTTAAGAAGAAAAGTTCGTCTTTTACTAATACCTTAAATATACTTATGGCGATTGTGTTGACTTTTGTCAGTATTCTTCACTGCAATTAGTCATAAAGGTAGCTCTAACTAGAAGATAAGTATGAATTCAAGTGGTATCTCGGGGGACCGTCTCACGAACGCTATTGACAAAAAACATATAATGTCGCTGGGATTAAGCAGCTAATGATACCTTCAGCTTCTTTGTCTCTTGGTATATCTTCGTACCTCACTTCGTTTCAAAGGAAAAAATAGTAACTTTATTACATGTTGAAAAATTATTGAAATAAGATCAAATCAACTTTGCCAAGGAATGTTGTTCTGGTATTATGAACACATTTTTGACTTTCCGTCAGTTTGCTTTTATTTTTACCCTGTCAAAAGTTATGTTTCATAATCTTTGTACCTTGGAAACCAGACTTTTTAGGACACATATATACAAATATGTGTAACACAAGTTATATGAACTTTTCTACTTGAATTTGGTTTAGAAATTCGCAGGCTATCATTGTGTAACACCCTGTAAGTATAAAGAGAAGAAATCACTAAAGGACTGTGATGGAAAATTATCTTTTCCAGAGTTGCAACAATGTGCCTTTAAATTACCTATTATAGTTGTACTTGGCTGTACAACATACGAATCCATGATGGGCGGCAAAGCTGCCATTTGCGATCGGTCTATGGAAACCGTAAATTTTGCGTGCCACACTGCAACTGACAACCCGCACTTTTTCATCGTTAGCAGGAAAAAAATCTTAGCTGCAATTTGGCTCTCGACAAACGTATTTTTCTCGAGCAAATAGTATGTTTGCGCTCTTGATACGTAAATAAAATAATAAATAATTTCTGCTTAATAACTATATTATTAGGGCTTCAAATCCTAGCATCTATCAGCACATAGGTACATGGAAAAAAAATTGACTCATTCAATTCGACAGTGCCGGACTCGCAGTGACGCTAATAGTGCATTATTTTTACACACAAAGAGATTTTTCAAAAGAACCATGCACCAAGATCATTTTTCCCATACAATAAGTTCACCAAAATTCACGTTGTCAACATCCCCCTCCCTCCAAGAAAATCTCAAGTCCAGCCATCTATCTACTGGCAGTGCCGGATTAAGCCAACAGGAGGTCTGCAGCAAATTATGTATATCAACGGGTCCAGGGGCGCACCCACAAAGAAATTTTTGATGGGTAGGACAAGGAAAATGAAATGCTTGATGACTGAAAATTTAAGTGGAATCGGGGGCTGGCATATGACGGCTCCATCAGTGCTACTTTTGTTAATCCGTCACTGTCTACCGGCGTTCTTCCTCTACACCAATGGTGATGGTGTAATAAGACATCCTGTATATGATACCATTTTTTAAGTCGTCATTCCCTTTACGGTTTGATAGGTAGCCAAATATGCCATAACCATTTCCTGCTTTTTTACGGGCGTAGCCTTATGTAATTTAAATATAAAGCGGTACGGCTATTTTTAGAGGCTTGATGAAGGAAATAATAATTGAGCACGGAGGGTATTCTATGCATAGTAAAATATTCATTGGTAACATACTATCCACACAAATTTCCACCTGTCACACATGACTAACCTGTAAATGGATTGGCACCTTTTTCACCGGTGTACTCATTTCTACTGGCACTGTTCGATTAACTGCAAAAGCTGAGAAAAACTCAAATAGTTGGCTACAGCTAATTCGGGGGACGATCTTTGTAAAACCGGAACGGTAACGGGATCAACACACACACGACGCACAAAACAGATTAAAATTAAGTGTCGGTTGACAGTTGTATCACCCTCTTTCTTTTACACGCCACAACCCACGAAGAACGGTTAAACGATGAGTGAGAAGAGAAATAAAGAATACGGTGGCGAATGCGAATCGACTACACGCATAACCGGTCGGCGTTGCCAGATCCTCCTCTATTTCACCAAGTTTACCGATAGATCGATGGAAAAAGTTATACAAATAGTCTGCCCATCTCTATGCATATCTACATTCATCCTTATCTTTAATAAAATAATTGGCCTTGACAGCCTTCACCTGCACCTATTTCCTGACCGAATCATTGCTTTTTAATGACAGCCACTATACAGGCAACAAGTACTTCTTGCTTCTGTCTTCCAACAATGTTAATTAAAAAATAGCACAATAAACTAAGTATTAAAATGTCGAATTAGGAAAATGATTTGGGGCCACCCTCTTTTGCCTCTGACTGACGCCTTAGATCATAGCTTTGGATTATCACCTTGCTCTAGTATTTGATTTTAACCTTACTTTACCCTCGGCTATGCCTTATTATAGCTTTATGTTACACTGTACCTATGGCCCTAGCTTTTGGTCCTTACTTATGACCGTATTTTGCACCCTTGCCTCGACTTTGCCTACCACTAGTCTTTGGCCCATATCTTAGATTGGACCTGACTATCCGGCCAGGCCCGTAGCCAGGATTTGGTTTCGGGGAGGGAGCTCGCAGGGTTTACTTACAAATTGCACAATGCTCATAGTCAACGGTGCGAAGGAAGGTTAAAGTTAAGGAGCAGGGGGGGGGGAGGAGTTAAGCAAGAATTGGTATAAGGAACGGAGTCAACATAGGCTTATGATTTTATAAATCAATGTAATAGAATAAAACATATGAAATTATTGTAGAGCTATAGATTTATTCATCTATATATGTAAATATAATGTGGGAAAAACCTGAGAATAACACCTTTAACTCGAAAACTTTGACCTGTACTATCAAAAGAGTAATCTTCTAGATTTTTTTCCGATAAAATCTCTAGGACGTGATCAGGATCGACAGCAATATCCCAGTGAATAGAGATCATAGCGAGTGCACTCAATCTTTCATGGCCCTTTCTTCGCGGTAGAGTTTTAACTTTTTTCATAGTGGAAAATGATCTTTCTACGCTAGCTGATGTCAGTGGCAAAGTGGCTAAGGTAGTTAGAAGTATTCTGATACCGAAAATAATTTCCATTGCAACACTCCAACCATTTTAAAACCTAGGTTAATTGATCAATGGACGATATCTTCGCACACCACAAGCTATATTCTGCCTTCACTGCCGTTGATAATATCTTATCGTCGAAGTGTGGCGCTAAGTTGTCTAACTCATCGGCTTTACTCACATTAGCAAATCCTGGGAGGAGAAGTTGGAAGCTTGGTAGGATATCTTCATTTTCGAGAAATCGTTCTGTTAAATTTTCAACCAAGGAATCGATGCACGGTAGAAATACTGAAATTCTGAAATATGCTTCATTTGATGCCGTTTGCGGGTTAGCACGTTTTTTTTTTTTTTTTTTTTTGGCGTGAGACAACTCTATGGAGCTCGAATTTCAGTGTCGAATAAGTGTTTAGCAAGTTTTGAAGCAGACAAAAAGATTTTCTCAAAGAAATCATCAGCAGATTCTCTAATTTCACGCAAATACTGTATTATTTCCTTTATGCGGTTGATAGCGGAGATGAAATCCAAAGACTATTCTTGGAGAAACACTGACAATGGAAGAGTTAAACTAAGCAGTTTTTCACATACCAAAAGACCCACAATAAAGTAACTTTTTTGAATTGCAGCAAAAAGAGCAGATGCTGTTAATGATACAGACCACGTTTTGCCAGGTATTTCTTCTACACTCATGGCGATGCATTCAAAAAGTTCCACGAATGTTATTATACTCTCATGCCTTTCAATGAATCTTGTATCACAAAGACGAAGCAATCTCTTTTTTTACTGTCTGGAGCACACTTTTGGACGGTTTTTTGAAAAACTTTATTTGCATTCGAAGTATTTCTAAACAGACTTATGTTTTGTATAACGAATCCATGACAGTTGCGGATCACAGGGATTGACATTGCATTTGAAACATCAAGATTCAGACGATGACTCGCACAGTGATAGTACCTTGCATTATGATAGTCGTTTTTTATTCGTTTCTGAACTCCGCTCAAATTACCTGCCATGTTTGCGGCTTCATCGTATCCTTGTCCGACACACTTATTATGTCCAGTTTCAACTCCTTACATCGCTGCAGAATAACGTTACTGAGATTCTCGGAACATTGCTCATCTATGGGGACAAAGCCAACAAAATCTTCTCTCAATACTGGAGTGTTCGGATCCTTCGTAAAATCAACATATCGCAAACATAGTGATAATTGCTCGGTGTCTGAAACATCCATTGTTTCAACTCCAAGAATACTGAAGCAATCAGTATTGTGTATTTTATTTATATTTTTTTCTGTAACGATATCTGAAGCTGTTTGTATGATCTCATTTTGCATTTGAGGGCTCAAATAAGTAGCGTTTTTTGCACTGTTTGTGATGTGCTTTTCCAAAACTTTCACCTGATGAAAGAAGGACCGTCTCAATAATCGGTTTGAGAACTGCTCCGTCCTCTTCTTTTTTTTGGCAAGTTAATGCCCTCGATATTAACATCGACAACTAAACATCGATTTTCGATTTACATCGGGCACAAAACATACATGTTTTCCAAGCATGGATGTTTATCACATGTGATGTAATGTAAGATGATTTGCGAAAATTTTAAAGTGGGCGACATTTATGGATTAATAATAAAAGAATAATGCAGGTGAACAACGAATAAATGTCCAATATTGTAGCGATAAAAGAAAATACCATAGTACGAAAGATGTCTTTTTATAGTGGTAAATGAATATCCCTACTTCCCTACTAATATTATAAATGTGAAAGTATGTATGTTTGTTTGTATGTTCCGCTTTCACACCAAAACGGCTAAACCGATTTCGCTAAATTTTAGCACAGATATAGACTAGACCTCAAGGACGGCCATAGGCTAAAACTTTTCAATTATTTGTTTAATATATTTACATAATATGCTTGAGATTACTTGAATTTTCTCAGTTTGTCTTTTATGTTTGAATCTGAAAAAAATTTCTTTCGGAATTTCGGGGAGGGGGCTTAAGCCCCCTGAGCCCCCCTGGCTACGTGCCTGTATCCGGCTTACCTTTCGAACACTCTTAGTTGTGCCCTTTAGTTACCTTGTTTGAGATCTACATCAATCTACAATTTATCGTCAAAAATTCACTTTTTTTAATGGATGAAGGTTTATTCTTTTAATTGCAATATTTGAATAATAAAATTTGTTCTATTCTGTTTTTCTCCCCTCTCGCCATGTCATTGTCAACTGTTGAGCTGCTGGAAGTCTTCAAAATAACCCTATTTCCCGGAAACGCTATCATATCAGGGCGTTTTTATCCGTTTTTCTTTATTGTAGATTTTGCAGAACTTCACAATGTACAGAAGTTGTTCATGACCTCAATCTTCTCATGGCGGTAGTTTACTCCTCTTTTGATGACGGACGATTATAGGTATACGTTATAATTCAATGATTTTTTCATACCTTTGTGACAGAAAATTATAATGTTATATTGTATCTACTCGTGAATATTGCGTTTTCTATCGGGCGTACTTGGGAAAACAAAGCTCTTCTGCGCGTAATGTCAATGACGATTTAAGTCAAAAGAATCAGATGGACATTACAAACTTGCACTGCATAACGCGGTTCCAGATACTCCAAAGTAGAGGAAAAGTGGCATACCTTCTTACAGCAGGGCTCTGGACTAAGTGTAAATAAACTTACTAATAAAAGTATGAATTTTATTACGTTTCAATGAATCATGTTTAAAATTTCGATTCTCGTTATATCGTCTATATTGCGGGAAGTCTATTCTTACTAGTTTGTTGAACACATTCATCGCTAAGAATAATAATGTTTTTCATAAATAAATGTCTAATATAACTGAAATGATATGCCGTTTTTGCATAAAGCAAAGTAAATAGGCCAAAAAAATTGATACGGGGTCAGGAAAAACTCACATCAGCAGTCTATTTGATTTTAACACCAAAACTAAATTTGACCTTAGATCTACAATCTCGGGGCTCTTTGTTCCTTTGGCAGTTAGTTCCAAAATTACCTGTTTTCTGTAAGATACTAGTTCTTCATTCCCTAATATCCGCTTTACACGATCCAATAAATTGAACAATTTTTTGACCTTGAGGAAGTTGGACGTGTAAATATAAAAATGGTTGTCAATTTCTTCACATCGGCAAATTCGTGAATAAATTGACAGATTAGAGCTTTTTCTAATTTTCCCTCAATTGTTTGAAGAAATCTAGTTACTTCGAGTTGTTTTTCCTAGATACCAACCTTCGTTATTTGACTCCTTCAAGTTTTGTGATTTGAGATTATTATTATTATCTTTACAGTTTCAGTACAGAAACAATCAGTTTGCAAATTATTGCTTCGGGACAGGAGAAGTTTTCGATCCGCCATTGCAGAAAAATCATCGACAATAAACCCTGACCCTGATACGCAGCGATTTCCTGCATGCGCTCACCCTTTTAGATTGTCGTTCAAACTACATAAACAGCTGCCGCCGCTCATCAAATTGGTCTTTACTTAATGTTATAAAAGTTTCTGGAATCTCAAATACATAACAACAATACCATATTGGCACTACTGATTGTGATAACGTGTATGTATGCATGTCACAACCACAACCGTTCCACACCAGGCACCGCAGGCAAGAGTCGTCTCAGGGTAGCTCAGATATAAAGAATATGATGTTATCTTGATAAAAATCCATATTCACCCTTTAACTGTATAGAATATCGATGATAAGTGAATTCAAATCTGCACAAAGATAAGCTAAAAACCTTTCCAGCAGTTGGAAAGTAGATACTTACTTTCGGATCCAGGACGTGACAACAGTGCTCCAGCATACAATCAATGATCTCTCCGCGGCGTTGCCGGCATAGTTCCGTTTTCTTAAAAATGTTGATAATAGCATATAATCAAATTCAAGCGGATAACCAAATGGAAATGGTATTTACCATTTTGGGTTGGTATTTACCGATCCGTTCAAGCGAGTGTAGTTATCAGTTTGGTTATAAGATCCGTGACGTCACGAATCAGCTGTTATATGTCATAGTTATCACCGCAAAATTGTGGTATTTACACAACTCAAGAGTAGTTTTATATTTCTGATTATTATTTGAAATGTGACAAGTTAGAATTTTGCCGGGTATTGGATATTGTTATTGTACTTCAGCTTCATTTTTGAGAAAATTGATACAGGCTGACTTCAGTTTTACCATAAAGTGGAGCTCCTTATTAGTTATACTCATTACGGTTGTTGGGGACACTTTAGATGTCGTTCCTATGCTTAACAAAGTATCCTGTGTAGCCATATACCACAAAAATATTAAAATATGCCCATATAAACTCACTAGATGATATCCACCTGTATACGGTTTTGCTAATTTCTTTTTTCATCATTTCTGCTGAATCAATAAATGTTTTCTTTGACATGCGGAAAAATTTAGAGGATTAAAAGTTATCATAGCTACAAATCCATAGTTCCATCATTAAGAAAAAATCTGAAAAAAACATTTCTCCCATGAATATTATGAAAGGTTTCTTATTTAAACTTTCCATAGACAGTTGTAGACGAAAAAGCACCGATTATTAAGTGATAATAAAAATAATCAGAGATTATATACGCGCTTTTCTAAAATAAACAACTTGCAACAAAACCGCGGTTAAAACCAACGCGTTCAAGCGATTCGTGTAACTGACGTCATCAACCCGTGTGTCATCTTGAACCACACAGAAATTTTGGTTATTCGCTTGGATTTGATTTATGATATAGTTAGGATGAGAAGTATGCCGACTCACTATGTAATACGTGAATTGAAATAAACGAAAGATTAACATATCAGCAAACTGCTTTTGTCCGTCCGACCGCAGAGGGCTAAGCGTGAACAGCTCTTTCGTGCCTTTTGGCAGCTCATCAACACCGTCTAGAAGCGTGGTCTCAGGTAGGACAACGAACGAACGCATAGCAACTATCAGAGGTATAAAGTCTATCCAAATTTCGATAAACGGAAGATTCTTCAGTTTCACATAGCAATTTAGCACACACAGAAGTAACATAATAAAATGATCAATTCTCTATAATAAACTATAGCAATAGGTGTCTATAGATATACTGACCTCGAAACGAATCCGATACAGACAGTGGAAAAAATATATTTAACTATTTTATTTCCAACATTTAAAGGCAGGTACACTTATTCCATTTCGATAAAATGAGCTCAAAATGTACACCCTGGTTTGCTTCGATATTAGCATCCTATCTGAAAAACAAGACTGTTCATTAACAAAATGAGCGCTTCAGCCAGCATAAACCAGTTCAGCGGTGCATCGCTTTTATGCTAAATATACTAAGTGACATATAAATCCGAACACCCAGTTTAAATGGTTTTATTTAATAAAAGTTGGTGAATGTATTTATCTTACTGTAAGTAACAAGTGAAAAAATTTTCAGCCTTATCAGTTGGACATTCCGGTTAATATACTGCTTTTTTTAAATTCACTAACGCTCTAAAAATGAATATTTCAGCCGCAGTAAAGAATCAACGTTGGCGGATTTTGGTTCTTGAGAACCTTTACGATCGGTTACGATGCCTAGAGTACGGAGACTTGTACGATTTCGTCAACTTAGTGAGTTTGATAGGGGCCGTATAGTGGGACTTCGGGAAGCTGGACTTTCTTTTTGGGCAATTACAGCTAGAGTGCAAAGAAGTGTAGACACTGTGGTTAGGTGTTGTCAGGCATGGCTTCGAGAAGGCTGTACGCAAAGAGCAAGGGGCACTGGACGCCGCCGTATAACAACAGACCTTGAAGATCGCCGCCTAAGATTATTGGCCTTAAGGGACCGTTTCTCCACTACCAGGTCCATTGCAAATGAATGGTTTGCAGAACACGGAAGACCTATTGGCACGCGAAGTGTTTACCGACGAATGAGAAGATTTGGCTTGTTTTCATACCGGCCACACTGGGTCCTCCCTTTAACTCGAGAACACCGACGTAATCGCCTTGAGTGGTGCAGACAACGGTCACTCTGGGATCAGGAATGGAACAGTATTGTCTTTAGTGACGAGTCTCGATTTTGTTTAGGCATGCACGATGGTCGTGCCAGGGTTAGAAGGCGACGTGGTGAAAGGAGGAATCCACAGTTTTTTGTTGAAAGACATGTTCATCATACTGTTGGAGTTATGGTTTGGGGTGCTATAGCTTATGGTTCCAGGTCACCTTTAATCTTCATCAGAGGTAACATGAACACGCAGCGTTATATCCACGAAGTTCTAGAACCCCATCTTTTACCCTATCTTGACACCCTGGCAGATCCAACTTTCCAACAAGATAATGCCCGACCACATGTTGCAAGAATCACAATAGACTTCTTTCAACATAATGATGTCACATTGTTACCATGGCCACCAAGATCTCCCGACTTAT